AAAGCTATTACTAGTAAAACTGTGCACTATCAGTGATGCAATTTATATTGGGGCGAGAAAGTAGTTACTCGAAAAAGAAAAGAACATATGCTTATTAGATGCCAGAGTAAGATGAAAGCTGATTGGAATATAACTAAGAGAAAATACAGAAACCGTTGTTAGACACAAGACATACCTGAAAGTGTCGCGGAAAATACAGATAAGCTATAATGGGAGTAGGTTGGACAGGCAAAGAAACTTAACAGACGTCAGATGAACGTATCGTACCAAAACGTGAGGAAAATAAGAGATAGAAGGAATATAGAAAGACAGAAGACACGTGTTTAAAAACTATTTGAAGAAACAATTTAAAAATCTGTGGTCAAGAACACAGAGAAGCAGAGAAGAACTGAGAAGCATACTCCAGTGAAAGCTTAGAAACTGTAACATTGACTATTAGACAATTATGGTAAACTCAGCGATTTGTGAAAGTGAACGATTTATCAAGTAAATGTGTATATAAGGGTTTCAAGAAATTTACAATTTAGGATTTAAAAATTAATGCACTGTCTGCATTCCGATAATGGTTCATTTACCTTGCCATACCACGGCCCGAGAAAACATGTACGAATTTACTTTCACTCCAAAGGATTTTATCGCCGTTAAAAGTCCACGGCGTCGATCGGGTATAAACCTGCAAACTTGGGTACAACAGCTCGATACGCTAAAGGTTATTCAACTAAACTCGCAAAATCGGCCTTACAATTTCAGAGGCGATAACAAACAAGTTAACCAGTAGCTTCGCCACACCGCAGTTATACACAAGCTGATGTTCGAATAATGACCAAGGTGATCATTGAATATTAGGAGAGCTTACTTCACACCTCCAAAGAAGACATTTTTGGAGATTAAACCGTCGTTGCGGACTGACTCAGTCGACATAAAACCAGCATGTTCCTGTTTGCGCCCTGCGTCAGTGGGAAGTGGGACGCCACAAGACGTCGGTCAGAGACACTCATGTCCTGAGCAACAAACTCGTTATCATTGCGACAATGGTATTAATACGTTTTCATGCTGTTTACTGTTTTAAGATTCGGTGGCAAGCAATAATTATAGAAGTGTTTGTATTCATTAGATTTTAACACACCAAACAATAAATTGCAGATTAAT